CGTGTTAACCGCAGCAGACGCGCCTGCAAGACAGCAGACGCCGTGTTAACAGCAGCAGACGCGCCTGCAAGACAGCAGACGCCGTGTTAACAGCAGCAGACGCGCCTGCAAGACAGCAGACGCCATGTTAACAGCAGCAGACGCGCCTGCAAGACAGCAGACGCCGTGTTAACAGCAGCAGACGCCGTGTTAACAGCAGCAGACGCGCCTGCAAGACAGCACCACCTGTGTTAATCACAACTCTGCGGCACCACTTGTGTAACTACCTCATCTACTTACCATATCTCCGTGGCTACTACATCGTCCACAAAATTGTTTCACCATGGCAACCACCTCATCCACTCAATCATATCTCCGTGGCAACCACCTCATCCACTCAATTGTATCTCCGTGGCAACCACCTCGTTCACTCACCGTATCACCATGGCAACCACCTCATCCACTCACCGTATCTCCGTGGCAACCACCTCTTCCACTCACCGTATCTCCGTGGCAACCACCTCTTCCACTCACCGTATCTCCGTGGCAACCACCTCTTCCACTCACCGTATCTCCGTGGCAACCACCTCTTCCACTCACCGTATCTCCGTGGCAACCACCTCTTCCAGCACGCTGCTCACGATGCCGAACACGCTGCTGATGATCGCCTTCGTGTTGACAACCGTTGCCACGGCGACGTCGCGACACATATCTTGGATGACCTCCAGACAGAGTTCACGTGCAAACTCTTTGATTGCCTGGCAATTAAATTATATAATTTTATATTATAGATTTAAAGGGGGTGCATGCCCCATAGAACATACCAGTTAACCTACAATACGGTAATTTCACTGGTAGGCATAATATATTTCTACTTATGGCAGGTACGAAGGATTCCTCATAATCATGTACGTTCAGAGATTTCTACCTTATTTAATTAAATCGCGAAAATGAAACTTGCAGGCCGTAATCCACGGAATGATCACATACATTCAAATCTTTAGACAAGCAGAAATATCGAAACTTGCAAGCCGGACGTTACAAGCAACCGTTTTTATTTGATGCTCCTAATTTTTTTGAGAGTTGGTGCAGCTGTGACACACAATAATACTGGCTACAGTTTAAAACATGCCTAGATACAGGGTCTCCAACCCTGTGAACTCCAAATGCTGAATGTTCCCGCGGTGATCAGTAACTAGTGGCGTATTCAGAATTTGATGGACAGGGGGGGGGCGAAATGTACCTTGGCTGCCGCAGGCAGGCCTAGGCATGCCAGTGCTAGGGGGGTCTGGGGAAAATTTGAAATATTTGAGCCATTTTCCTGCAATCTGAGGCATACTGTGGGCCATATTCTCATGTCTGATAACACTATCTCAACCCTAGACTCAACCCTACAACCCTTGTCTGATTAGCAGACAAACTACGCGGCACCTAGCTTGCAGACAGCGCCTGTCTGACTAGGCTGTTCCATTTACCGTAGACATGCCAGATACAAAATACATGAAAAAAAACAATGTCTCCAAGCGAAGAATGCGAACAATCAGTGCAAATTTTATACAGTGCAACTGAAATGAGGAATATAACTTTGCCGCTGCAGAATGCTGAAATTAAGCCTAGAAATCGTAATGATTCCGCAGAATGAGGAATGGTTGGAGACCCTGCTAGATATATGTTTTTCGAGTTACCCAATACTACAGTTTAATTTTTTTCAAGGCTACGACAATTTTATCGCATCCCTTGGCCCGTATTTCAATATATTATTTATATAGGTTTGACAGTACTGTTGCACAGTAAAACCTATTCGCATTATAGGTTTCCTATATAATAATATTCCTAGTAGATATATAGGAAGAAATACATTTTATAGATTTCTTCCTTCTAATTATATTTGCATGAAGAAGCCTTTAAATACTAAAATCTTTCGTTAGACTAATTATTATTCTGCATCCTGATATTTCCTCCTCCTCTGAAATCCTCCTTCTCGCACAAACAGTTGTGTGACACTCACCATCGCAGACACACAGCGCGTTAACGTCGCCCTATCAAAAACAAGTGCACATCTTACGTTGCTTGGTATGGACGCGGCCAGCAACCTTGTTTCCGTGTCCGCCGCCACGGAAGCAGACGACTCCAGCGTGCTCCCGGTCGCCGTCGCCCCCGGCAACGCATCCTCGACTGGAGGCGGGCGCGTCGTCATGGCGACGGGCAATGTCGTCCTGTATCGACCATTCACGTCGAAGCTTGACGCCGGCACGTGAGCGGTGATCGGCGGCAGCGGGCCGCCATTAACGACCTACCGACAACACAAGAGCAGCTCTATAGAATCGGGCGCCTGCTTCTTACGCGGGTAAGCAAAAGTAACCATCAATCTACATATTGGAACCCACTCCCACTATGAACTGCTCAAATACTACTCAACACTATGGCTGCTTCAAAACCTCCCGTCGCTGGTGTGCGGGCGCCACGCTGGCTGGAAAAGGCACGAACTATGTACGTAATAAACACAGACTCTCTAGCTTAAACAGTTCTTAATCGGCAGTCCGTAGTTAGTACGTAGGCATCCTTGTATTTGTACTATGGACTGTAATTAGCTCCGGATTATTCCGTAGCTCTCTGTGCGTTTTGCACCATTTCCGTGATTAGTCCGTGTTTTGTCCGTATATTCTAGTTCATAGTGTCCTTCCCCTAGCATATGCCATTCCCACTACCCACACAGTAACTGAGGCAGCTTGTCTCAGCATGTCTCAGCATGTCTCTACTGTTAACTCTCAACCCATTCAGCCCAGGTGTAATGATACAGCTACGGCTGGCTAGCATGTGTCGTGGCGTGGCGTGGTATGCCGCACGCATCGTGGCGCGGCGTGGCATGGCACAGCGTGTAGCGGTGTGTTGTGTCGTGTCGCGTGATGCGCGTCGCGGGGCATCTCGCATGTCGTGGCATGGCACAGCGTGACGCGGTGTGTCGTGTCGCGGTGTGTCGCGTCGCGTGGCATCACGCATGTCGTGGCATGGCACAGCGTGTCGCGGTGTGTCGTGTCGCGGTGTGTCATGTCGCGTGCGTCGTGGCATCACGCATGTCGTGGCATGGCACAGCGTGTCGCGGTGTGTCATGTCGCGTGCGTCGTGGCGTGACGTGGCATCACGCATGTCGTGGCATGGCACAGCGTGTAGCAGTGTCATGTCGCGCGCGTCGTGGCATCATGCATGTCGTGGCATGGCACAGCGTGTAGCGGTGTGTCGTGTCGCGGTGTGTCATGTCGCGCGCGTCGTGGCATCACGCATGTCGTGGCATGGCACAGCGTGTCACGGTGTGTCGCGTGGCGTGGCATCACCCATGTCGTGGCATGGCACAGCGTGTCGCGGTGTGTCGCGTGGCGTGGCATCACCCATGTCGTGGCATGAACACAACAACACAGTAACTGAGGTGTGGTACACAACACAACAACACAGTAACACTATCTCACTTTCACTTTCTCTCTCACTCTCTCACTGTCTCAGCTTGTCTCAGCTTGTCTCAGCATTGTTTCGATATTTGGATAGCCGAGGAGTGTAACCATGCAGAGAGAATAGCAGATAAGATTGAGCATAAAACTAATACTCCGGAAACATGTTCTATTGTTGGCCATATGTCGGATCCTCTAAACTTAGCCAGAGTCAACACTGCGCATGAGCGCTATATATTGTTACAAGCATGTCTCAGCTTTCTCTCTCACTGTCTCACTGTCTCAGCTTGTCTCGGCACGACTCACCTCCCCGACCGAGATGAGGCGTTTCTCCTCGATGATGGCGGAGCGGCGCGGCGGCAGAGCGCCCTCTGGTGTCATGAACGCGGCGCGGTGCAGCAGCACCATCTCGTCTCCGACGTCGAGGCCGAAGTGTTCGCAGAACGCGCGCGCCTCCGCCGCCCCGCCGAACGCAAGCGCACGCACCAGCTCCCCTAGTGGCAGCTGCGCGAAACACAACACACACACACTGACATACTCACTGTCGCACACGGGCGACAAGGGCGCGAATTTCGCGAACGCGTCCCCGACCGCGAAAATAACAACACGCGAATAATTAATTCATACAGAATAATTCATAATTCACCGAACGCGAAATTAACCACTCGCGAAATTGTCCATCAAGTCTGAATTCGCGAAAATAACTGTACGCGAAAAATATGGCGTATACAGAAATTCGCCGTAATAGCACCTTCATTAGACGCCAATCACGCTGAGATCATTAGCGTTAATTAGCGGTAATTACGCGCTCACCTGCACACTCTTCTTGTGTGTCGTGTATGCCAGCAGTATGGTCCTGATCGCGAGAGTACGGACCTGGTTGAAGTAACGATGCATGAGGCAGCTGTTCAGATAACTCGCTGCATGCACTAGCTTGAAGAACCTACGAGAGAGGCGAGAGAGAGACACGTGTAATACGCACAAGCTTGATTGAAGAAGCTACGAGAGAGGCGAGAGAGAGAGAGAGAAAGAGAGAGAGAGAGAGAGAGAGAGAGAGAGAGAGAGAGAGGAGGAGGAGGAGAGAGAGGAGAGAGAGAGAGAGAGAGAGAGAGAGAGAGAGAG